AAAAGAATCCAAATTTATAGGCAATATAGGGAATCAGTTTATAGAGGCCCAAATTGAAAGATTTTGCCTACATGACTTTCCTACTAAACACTACCTATTTATACTGCTAACCTACTTCAAACTTGATTTTCTAAAGATGGGGAAATAATGTCAACAGACTTTCTCCACCTCTAAAGTATAAAGGAGTTTAAATTAATTTTTCTGAGATTAAAAAATTTAAAAATAGGAACCCAGAATTAAAAAATGATAGTAATATTTTATATGATATAATGGTGGATACATGACATTATACATTATACAAAATCGATAGAATATATACCATTAAAAGTGAACCCTAACATAAACTATGGACTTTGGGTGATAGTGACATGTCAATGTAGGTTCACTGACATAACAAATATACCACCCTGGGATGATGATAGGGAGGCTATTCCTGTATTGGGGAAGGGAGTTTATGAGCCTTCTGTATTTTCTGGTCAATTCTGCTATAAAAATTTAAACTGCTATATAAAAACGAATGTTTAAAAAAGAAAGATGATAGAATACTAAAATCAGTCAGAACTCATCTTGTTCTAAAATATAATAGAAACAATTATACATTTACCACTGAGCACAAACTACAAACAAAATAAAATGCTGCATTTTGTTAAATTATTTCTATATTAGAAATACCCTGTATACTGTATTTTACAGAAATAAGAATTTTTTTTTTACTGTTCACTTTGCCCTGTATGCCTTAAATTCAGATCTATGCTTCTAAACAGATAACTAATATGAATAAAAATTAAAGTCAGCTAAAACAAAATGTAAGTGGCATCTTTGATTTTACTTAATTTATTAAACTACAAATTTGGGCAAATGAACACCTCTAATCATATAACCATACATCATATAAATGCAAAAAAATTGCCTAAAATAAAAAGTCCAAAACACCAAGTCATATCCTCCCAACTATCTATTTATACCAAAACCTATGTCCAAATTAAAGAAACTAAACTTACCTAGCTATGTCTCCACCACAACATCTTACTCAACGTGCACCTAAGTTTTATAATTCCTATTGTAGTAAAGCAGTATGTATCCTCTGCCTTGATCTCTGTCCAGATTGACATTCTCTTTTATTTAAAACAAAAACAAAAACAATTAGATTCTTCTTTCTAAATTATTTTATGGACACCTGGGTGCCTCAGTCATTTAAGCATCCAACTCTTGGTTTTGGTTTGGTTTTTGCGGTTTCATGGGTTTGAGCCCTACACATCGGGCTCTGTGCTGGCAGCATGGAGTTTGCTTAGGATTCTCTCTCTCTCTCTCTCTCTCTCTCTCTCTCTCTCTCTCTCTCTGTCCCTCTCCCACTTATGCTGTCTCTCAATAAACAAATAAACTAAAAAAATAATTTTATAAAGTAACTTTTTCAAATTATAAAATTTAAGCCAAAAAAAAAACTTTAAGCCAAAACCATCCTAGATTTTCACCATTAATGTCTTCTGTGACTAATATTATTTTCTAATAAAAAGCTGTAGCACTCTTAGCTATAAAAGAATGTTTAGGGGCGCCTGGGTGGCGCAGTCGGTTGAGCGTCCGACTTCAACCAGGTCACGATCTCGCGGTCTGTGAGTTCGAGCCCCGCGTCGGGCTCTGGGCTGATGGCTCAGAGCCTGGAGCCTGTTTCCGATTCTGTGTCTCCCTCTCTCTCTGACCCTCCCCCGTTCATGCTCTGTCTCTCTCTGTCTCAAAAATAAATAAACGTTAATGCCTCAGACCCTCTTAATGCACACTCCCATTTCTTAAAAAAAAAAAAAAAAAAAAAAATGTTTATATTCCTGGTTTTTGGATATTTGAATTTATTAAATTTATACATTCTGCTCTCAATATTCTTCATAAGGTGTTTCACATAAATGTCAAAACAGTTACCAAATATGACTATATCTAAATTCTTGTAGAAACTACTGCACATTCTTAATTTTAAAAATAAAAATGGATTCTATTTCTAAAAGATTAGTTTTACCTTATCCAGAAACCAAAATATTTTAAATTTTCTAATTCTATTCTATGATGATGACTCTAATAATTTTGTAGATGTCATCTCCCTGACAAAAGCCATAATACAACAAACACTTGATTGAGCCACACTGATCCACAATTCCATTTATAAAACTTTTTAGAGGAGCGCCTGGGAGGCTCAGTTGGTTTAGCGTAGGACTCTTGATTTTGACTCAAGTCATGATTTCACTGTTCGTGGGTTTGAGCCCCATGTTGGGCTCCATGCTGGTGGCACAGAGCCTGCTTAGGAGGATCCCCTCCCTCCTTCTCTGCCCCTCCCCTGCTTGCACTCTCTCTCTCAAAAATAAACTTAAAAAAAAACTTTTAAAGATTTTTTTTTTAATGTTTATTCATTTTTGAAAGAGACAGAGCACGAGTGGGGTAGGGGCAGAGAGAGAGGAAGACACAGAATCTGAAGCAGGCTCCAGGCTCTGAGCTGTCAGCACAGAGTCCGACGCAGGATCCAAACCCACGAACTGTGAGATCATGACCTGAGCCAAATTTGAACATTTAACCAACTGAGCCACCCAGGCCCCAACAAAACTTTCTAGATACACTATTCTTCCACTCAAAAAAAACTCTATAAATCGGGGTGCCTGGGTGGCTCAGTCGGTTGAGCGTCTGACTTCGGCTCAGGTCATGATCTCAAAGTTCATGGGTTGGAGCCCCGCATAGGGCTCTGTGCTGACAATTCAGAGCCTGGAGCCTGCTTCGGATTCTGCCTCGCCCTCTCTCTCTCTGCCCCTCCCCCATTTGTTCTCTCTCCCTCTCTCTCTTAAAAAAAATAAACATGAAAAATTTTTTAAAAAACTCTATAAATCAAGTTTGTATACATAAATTAAAGCTACAAACATTTAAAAAATTAATGTACTTAATATAGATAAATGCTAGTTCAAGACTCAGGAAATTGCTACATTTCACTTTGATTAATTTGGTTCATGTAACTAAAAGTACATTTAAATTTTTAACAGGAACATGTTATTAAAAACAAGCTTTACTTAATTTCTAATCTTCCTCATCTTCTTATAAGAGTAACAGATGTCCTATTCAAAACAAAAAAAGCATGGTAATATTATATAGCAAAATTCCTATTTTAAGCTATCAACAGTATAAATTTTTCCCAAAAAAGTTGTAATTTCTAAAAATGAAGTTCTCTCTGAGGAGGTTAAGATTTTGAAAATAAGGTTCACTGCTTCCCACTGCACACTCATAGCAAAATTGGTTGAACAAAATAAAAATGTCAGACCTATGTTCTAGTTCCTGGCTACATTTCTCCAATGTAGTAAATGAGGATTAAATGAGGTTCCAACCTTGAATGCACTATTATTGTCAAGAAGATACAAAGAATTTTTAATAAATTTTAAAAAGGTATTTGAATATAGAAAACAATAGCATTTAGAATGTATCCCATTTCATTTTTATATTATTAAGATAGGAGTTCACTTCTTACTTCTAGTTCTAACCATGTCTTCGTTTCTTGAATTCTTACAATGCCTACAGATACTGGAGACTGAGGGAGTTCTCAGGCCCTGAGACTTCAACTAACAACTAGTGCCAGGTTCCTGACTTTGCTGTGAAAAAGAATTCAAGGACAAGTCAGAGTGAAATACAGCAGAGGAAGCTTTACTACAAAGCGAAAGTACACACCTGAAGGAAAGAGGAGTCCGTACGGGCACACTCAGAGAATCTAAGTAGCGCCGGGTGGATATGGGGCTGATTTTTATTGGTGGTTATAATTTGGGGATGAAATATTCATATGGGGTTCTGCAGAATAGGCAGAGATTTCTAGGAATTCTGCATAATACTACATATGCCCTATGATGGCTACTATGCACAGGTGCAGTCTGATTTCAGGCTAACTGGGTCTTGGTGTGCATGTAGGTTAAGCAACAGCAGGATGCTTATTATCATTAGAAACCACAGAACTATCAGAGGTTTGCTTAATCGCCACAATCTGTCAGATATCAGACTAGGTTCCCCGTTTTTTTGTTCCTCCTGCAAATATCTAGCACTTCCCTATTCCACCTGCCCCACTACCACAATGCTGGGTACTCAAAAGACATTCAAAATCACTACCAATTAAAATATCCATTCCAGACTGATGGCCAAACACGGGGCCTGTAGTTGTGCCTGTGCCTCAGTAAGTCTAATTGTGGCATTGAGTATTAACAAAAACTTGAAAATATTAAGTCCCATTCTCCAAAGTGCATTTTATCCATAATAAAAAAGGATAATCTAATCTCCATATGCTTCTTCTGTCTTTCCCAATTTGTTCAGGATTCAGGAAAGGAAAAGAGTGCTATTTATTGGTCCCCGTAAGCCCCAAGAAGTAGGTAAATTTTATAAGACTCTGAATGTCTTAAATGTCTATCCTATCTTCATATTTTGTTTAATTAAGTTTAAAATTCTAGGTTAGAAATCATTCACTCAAAATGCTACAGGTATTGTTTCAATGATTTCTAGTTTCTAGTATTACTAGGGAAAATCATGCCATTCTTATTTTCCATTTCTTTTTTAATGTTTATTTACAAGACAGGGAGAAAGACAGTGAGAGAGTGAAGAGGGCAGACAAAGAGAGAATCCCAAGCAAGCTCCATGTTATCAGTACAGAGCCCAATGTAGGGCTAAAACCCATGAACTGTGAGATCATGACTGAGCCAAAACCAAAGCCAGATGCCCGTATTTTCCATCTTTTTTACTGAACTGTTTCTTTTCTGTATGGAAACTTAGGATATTCTCTTTGTCTCGGTGTTCTGTAATTTTTTTTTTTTCAATTTAGGTTTGAGTTAACATATAGTGTAGTTAGTATTGGTTTCAAGTGCTCTGTAATTTCTTTTTTTTTTTTTTAACGTTTTTATTTATTTTTGAGACAGAGAGAGACAGAGCATGAATGGGGGAGGAGCAGAGAGAGAGGGAGACACAGAATCGGAAGCAGGCTCCAGGCTCTGAGCCATCAGCCCAGAGCCCGACGCGGGACTCAAACTCACGGACCGCGAGATGGTCACCTGAGCTGAACTCGGATGCTTAGCCGACTGAGCCACCCAGGCGCCCCATGTAATTTCTAATTGATAAACCATGGAGCAGATATTTCTTCAAACATTTGTCTGGGTATTTAGTTGGCTGTTTTAATCTCTAACTCAAGTTCCCCAGTTTTGACAATTTTTTCTTATATTATGTCTTGTATCTTTTCCTCCCTTTCATTTTCTCCGTCCTTTTTCTCTAACTCCTATTAATTGGCCTTTATTGTCTCCTACATTGATTCTACATTTATCTTACCTTTCTCTCCATTATCTATCTCTTTATTTTCTTTCCTCAGTGATTTCCTCACCTTTATCTTCCAAATCTTCCGCATTTAAGAGGAGAGGAGCATTTTCATTTCTAAAAATGCCTTAACTGATTATTCCTTTTTACGACACTCTGTTCTTGTCTCATGATTATTATCTTATTTCTGAATGCTAATAGTTTTCTTAAATTTTTTTCTGCTCCCTGTAGTTTCCTGACTTTCTTATTTGTTTTCTTCTCTATCAAGCATAATAGGAATCTCAGGAGAAAAAGAGAATAAAGGAGACAGAAGAATACTTGAAGAAATAGTCAAAAACTTCCCAAATCAGATGAAAGACACAATTATACACAACCAAAAAGACCAATAACTCCAAGCAGAATAAACTAAAAAAATCCACACCAAGACCAACTACTACTCAATTTTGATAAACAATGAGAGAATTTTGAAAGCAGTAAGAGAGAAGCAACTTTTCATATACTAAGAATTCACAATAAGATTAAAAGATGATTTCCCATCAGAAACCATGAAAATCAGAAAAAAGATGACATATTTAAAGTTCTGAATGAAAAAAATGTCAACCAAGCATTCTCTAGCCTTGTGGCAAAACTATACAAAGGAGGAATTATGACATTCCAGATAAACCTCCTGGAAAACATAAGTATTTAAGCTCATGTGACTTACAGCCCCCAAGGAAGGGGAGAGCTGGAAGACTATTCTACTCTTACTATTCTTCTTACTGTTCTTATCATTTAAAGGATTA